GCCCCCCCCCCCCCTCGTGTGTAATTGGCTTGTTACCGGAATAGTTAAACTACATGTCGTTATTAGTCTGTCAAAACGGCACTCAGTCAGTGCCTCGGGTTCTTTTTGCAAGGGTTTACTTGCATCTTTTTCCCGTACGAACTTAGGAACAAAGCCGAGGATCCGACGGTCAGGGTGAAATCTGATAACCATAGACCGCGAATTCACTAGATCTCCGGAATGGTGATTCCCAGGACCTCGCTTCTTCCTTAGTAACACAATACTCTGAGCTCACTAGATTCAGATCTATTTCCCTGTCACTGTACGTATCGGTGGGTGTATGTATCGTTGACGGACCGCCGTATGGTTCGTGTAGATCGGCGACGGAGATGGCGAACTACCTGGCGCAGTTCCAGACGATCAAGGGCTCCTGCGATCGCCTCGTAATCGCCGGTAAATTGCTTAGTCGTGATCGATTCTTCTCTAGGGAGATGTTTTGCAATTCAATTCGTTGTTTGGATACACTCTCATCGTTCCAACGATCAGGATCTGAAATTCAGTCTCATTTGTTGTCGTCGGATTCTGTGATTTGAGGGTTTGAATCGGTAGTTTTGGCTTTCAGCTCGAATTATTCAATGACAAAAATTGTCTGGAATTGTCGTTAGCGTATGGTTATAGTCGGTTGAAACACGGTAAAATTGTAACTTCCGCGAGCTTGGAGTTCAGGAATGCGTGTAGGTACTCTGAACTTTTGAGTGGATATGGAACATCTCTCAGAATGTGAAGATCAAATGTCTTCAGTTTTCAGTTCGAAGCATTCCGAAAGCATTTTGACTTACAATGGTTTTCAGGCCATAAGATAACGTGATATCTTGCTGATTTTTTGCCCTCATTTGAGGTTTAAATTATGCGTGCATCTTCATCCTGTCTGTGTTGGCTTTAATGAGATACCTAGTGTTGATGCTTGGCCTAAGTGAAGGGTGCTTGATTGAATTAGTAAATTTGATGACTTGGATATGGTTGATGAGAACATTTTTATGATATCAATACGTTGAAGTTTAATGTGTTAAAAAAATAGTTGGTCTCTTATTGAATTGACCTGCAGACATTGATACCCAGGTGAGAGTGGTGTGATGATTATTATTGACACGGTGTTACTGTCTTCTAGTTCTGCTTGTTCTTGTTGTTTGTTTACCAAGCTTAAGAAGTCGTCTATTTCATTGAAGCTTTTCTTTTCATATCATCCTTCTCACGCCTCCTCTAATTTATTTTTCCCAGTTGAAGATGTGTGTGATTTGTGGCCTACGGTTAAAAGTTCATTCGAAGAACATCAGCCATTAAAAAGAGCGCTCTTGAACAATAAGACTCGAAATTCAGTGTTTGTGGAGAGCTTGCCAGTTGAATTCATATTGACGACAGATGCAAGACTTCGTAGCCGATTCCCACAGGAGCAATCTTTATTCTGGTTTCGAGAACCATATGCAACTGTAGTTCTTGTGACATGTGAGGTACTACTATTCAATTATATTATTTCTCCCTAATATTATGTTTTTAATTCAGTGTTTCCTTCTTCAAAATGGATATGGTCCATTGACATGTGAGGATCATCAATCAAATGTGCTTGGTGGTGTTTCTTCTTTGTTTTTCATTGCAATAAAAAATATGAAACCTATTCTAGATAGTATATACCTCTGTATTTCCTATGATTTCCATGTCTTTATTCTGAATTCCATATGAGGCTTGGCTGTCAATCTGTTCTGCTTCTTCTGAGAATGTACCTTTTCTTTTGGCCTTGCAGGATCTTGACGAGTTTAAAAACATTCTGAAACCACGTCTAAAATTAATTGTTCAAAATGACGAGAGGGAGTGGTTTATTGTGTTTGTATCTAGAGCTCACCCAAGTAACGACTCGGCAACTAAATCTGTCAAGAAAGTATATGCCAAGCTTGAAGTTGAGTTCAGCTCAAAAAAGAGGGAAAGGTGAGCATTAGTTTCTTCATTATCGGTGGAATGAAAACCAAAACCATATGAAATCTTGACTGAGGCTTAACCGATCCAACTAAGATTCGATATGCACCTACAAAAACTAATTTGTGTGGCTCTCTACAGTTGTCCCTTTGTTATTTTTATGTTCTGCTAGATTTAAAAGCTAGGCTTCTTTAGCATTACCATTACTAATTTAGGGGTTTTACTTTTGGATAATTTACTTGCAGAAAAGGAAAAGGGCTAGAAGCTTCACATTCTCTTTCACTTTTTATCAGGAATATTTCATCGAGGCAGTTTGTGCATGCCATCTAAGCGTCCTAATGTGAAGTTCTGGAAATGTTTTTCAGGTGTTGCAAGCTGGATATACATGGCCCTGAAGCAAATTTTTGGGAGGATCTAGAAATAAAGATTACCGAGTGCATCAAGAATACACTGGATAGGCGCGTTCAGTTTTATGAGGATGAGATACGAAAGCTCAGTGAGCAGCGCTTCATGCCTATTTGGAACTTTTGCAATTTTTTCATATTAAAGGTAATTTCTCTTCTCACATTTCTGAAAAAGTGAATGTGATTGCAAGAGCAATTGCTGTTATAACTGAATGAACCCTTTTCAATTATTTTATATTCTTTTCACCTAAGATCCTTTTGATATCTTCTGTAGAAGTATCAAGTATGAGAAAAATCCTACTTCTAAAAACATTGAAGCACCATCTCTTACTCGTGTAGTTACATCCCTTGAAAGTTACCACATTCTTTTAAATGTCATAATAGTCAATTTCTTTTTCAGGAAAGTCTGGCTTTCATATTTGAGATGGCCCACCTTCATGAAGACGCACTACGTGAATATGATGAGCTAGAGTTGTGCTATCTGGAAACTAGTGTGTTTCCTCTCTCTATCAGATATTATAGCAGTTTCTTCCAAATTCTTCATTAATATAATTATGTTTCCAGATATTATTTCTTTCTATATAAGTATCATTTTTATTCTCAGATATGCTTAACTCAATATTTTGATTACGGGATGATTGATTTATGTTTCAGTTTTTCAGCAGTTTAAGCAACCCGTATCAGAATATTTGAAATCCCAATAAATTAGCTCCTATGTTAATTTGATTGAGTTAATGACTTTGTTGCTCATTTAGACAACGATTTTATTCACCTGAATTTCCTCTGATCAAAATATCTTTTATCTATTGACTATGATGCAGTTAATGCACCTGGAAAGCAGAGGGAGTTTGGAGGATTAGACAATGGGGATGACCGTGCTGCTCTGCTGAATCCCGGAAACAAACAACTGACACAGATTGTACAAGATGATTCTTTTAGAGAATTTGAGTTTAGGCAGTATCTCTTTGCCTGTCAATCAAAGGTGTGTAGTAATGAAGCGGCATCATATGGATCACATAGTCCTTTATCTTTATCTTTTTTCATTCTTAAGATCTTCACAAGTATATGTGTCCATTTGCCCAGCTGTTTAATTTTTAGTGTCCTGTAGCTTTTGAAGGATCATAAACCTGCATCCAGTTTTAGGCATCAACTTACTGATTTATGGTTTGGTGCAGCTTTTGTTCAAGCTGAATCGCCCTTTTGAGGTTGCATCAAGGGGTTATTCTTTTGTTATAAGTTTTGCAAAGGCCTTGACCCTACATGAGGTACTCAATATCATAACTAAGCAAATGCTTACTAACTTATCTCAGAATGTTGACCTGATCTCTACCTCTGTTTCCTTGTTTTCCTTCTTCTGTTTGGGATTCGGTAGAATGTGCTGCCCTTTTGTATGCGCGAAGTTTGGGTAATTACAGCTTGTTTGTCTCTGATCTATGCAACTGCTTCTCATCACCACGATGGAGCTGTTGCACCTGATATTGAGAAGGAATTCTATCGTGTTCAGGGTGATCTCTATTCTCTTTCTCGGGTTAAGGTAGATATCCCCTTTCTTTTGAAAGTTGGAAACTAGATGGCAACCTTGTTTCCTTTACCATTTATTGTAAAGCTTGTTCTGTTTTATTTCTGTTAACTCCTATGGAGTTTCTGCAGAATATGTATTACAAGGTGGCATTTCTCTAGGTTACACTTTGTTAATATTTATGTGCATTGTTTAGCAGTCTTCACATACTGGAAATCATATATATATTTAAGTTTCATACTCAGTTAATGTGTTTGGATCATGACAGTTTATGAGACTCGGATATCTAATAGGATATGGAGCAGACATAGAAAGAAGTCCATTAAACAGGTAGGATTTCATTTCTGTTTTAGCATGTTATCTACTGTAAGTCAGAAAGAGTACTTCCAAATGCTTTCCCTGAGGCAAAAACTGACCTCATGTGTTGGAATCTCATGTTGCATTCGCACATGGGAAAAAGACAAGAAAAGCTGCTCTTTGTTCCAAAAGCATTTGAACATCTTTATCTCCAGATTCTTAATGGGTTATGCGTTGTGTTGATCTAGAATAACTAAGCCTTCTGCTATTTTTTGTGCAGTGCTTGCCTCAGCATGCTTCCATGGCCTAAACCAGCAGTTTGGCCATCTCTTCCAGCCAATGCTTCCTCTGTCGTGCTTGAAAAAGAAAAGGTATGATCTGCATATGCCTCATGAATTTGATATTTGAAAGCACTACCATATGTTCCAATCATATTTGAAACATGGCAACAAGTTTTTAATGCTTGCATAAAAGGCCAACCCAGCTCGAGTTCCCAGCTGGTGGGGTGGTGGGGAGGGGAATATACTAGGAAGCTTTATCCCTGTTTTTATGCAGAGAGGCTGATTCGAACCTGTGACCTTAGACCCCACGGCAAGCGGCTTACTGCTGAGTCAAGCCGACCCTTCTTTTTAATGCTTGCATAAACAAGCAAATTATTGTTTGCCACCCTGCTAAATGCATTTTTAAGGTTCTGTTTTCGGGATAAAGTAGTATACAGTGAAATCTATTGCTCTATAATTTTATTTGCCGGTGAAATTAGTGATCTCCCTGATTATGGTACAGGTGATTCTTCAAGAAACTTCGAGAACCAAGCACTTCGGTATTCAGCGGAAACCTTTACCACTTGAGCCCTCTGTCCTTCTACGTGTAGCTAACCGAAGAAGGGCTTCTCTCTCTGCTGGAAATTTGCCTGAAATGTTTGACGGACGGTCAAGCATTGTTGATGGGTATGAAATTTAAGAAATTCTACCATCATTTGCTCTTTAATATTTTCAAATGTCAATTTCTCTTTTGGTAAATGAATTGTTAATCTCTTTCTTTGTGTCCCTGTAGAATAATTATTGCTAATGTTTCCCTTCTGGTGTTCTTCGAGAAACTAAATTGATATGTATTCTGACAGATCAGGTTTAGAAGCGTCCCCAAGAAAACTTTCACCAGTTAAATTACAAGCAAATGCCATGACAAGAACAAATTCTTCACCTGGAAATATTGATAGCCCATTAGATCGGCCGATGAGGCTTGCTGAAATTTTTGTTGCTGCTGAGCATGCTCTGCGCCATACAATTTCAGATCTTGACTTATCGAAGTCATTGTCATCCACGCAGGATTTCGAGGTATCATAATTGGCAATTCACACTCTTCTATGTTAATTTGATTGAGTTAATGACTTTGTTGCTCATTTAGACAACGATTTTATTCACCTGAATTTCCTCTGATCAAAATATCTTTTATCTATTGACTATGATGCAGTTAATGCACCTGGAAAGCAGAGGGAGTTTGGAGGATTAGACAATGGGGATGACCGTGCTGCTCTGCTGAATCCCGGAAACAAACAACTGACACAGATTGTACAAGATGATTCTTTTAGAGAATTTGAGTTTAGGCAGTATCTCTTTGCCTGTCAATCAAAGGTGTGTAGTAATGAAGCGGCATCATATGGATCACATAGTCCTTTATCTTTATCTTTTTTCATTCTTAAGATCTTCACAAGTATATGTGTCCATTTGCCCAGCTGTTTAATTTTTAGTGTCCTGTAGCTTTTGAAGGATCATAAACCTGCATCCAGTTTTAGGCATCAACTTACTGATTTATGGTTTGGTGCAGCTTTTGTTCAAGCTGAATCGCCCTTTTGATCTCCTTTCCAACCGCCCCTCAGATATAATTATTGTTATTGCAGAAAAAATACCTTGATCTAACTAAAGGTGCTGCGGAGAACTATCATCGTTCTTGGTGGAAAAGACACGGGGTCGTTCTTGATGGTGAAATTGCAGCTGTCTGCTTCAAGCATGGGAATTATGACTTGGCTGCAAAATCTTATGAAAAAGTCTGTGCTCTTTATGCTGGTGAAGGATGGCAAGATTTATTGGCAGATTTCTTACCCAATTTAGCTGAGTGCCAAAAGATTCTCAGTGATCAAGCCGGGTACCTATCATCTTGCGTCAGACTTCTTTCACTGGACAAGAGTTTGTTTACACTGAAGGAGCGGCAAGCTTTTCAGTCGGAGGTTGTTAGCCTTGCTCATAGTGAAATGAAGAACCCAGTGCCACTAGATGTGTCCTCATTGATCACTTTTTCTGGAAATCCCGGCCCTCCACTTCAATTATGCGATGGAGACCCCGGTACTCTATCTGTTACTGTGTGGAGTGGCTTTCCTGATGATATAACCCTTGATTCACTTAGTCTGACCTTGGTAGCCACAAACAACACCGATGAAGGTGGTCAGGTGTGCTTCCGTTGAGCATGGATGTTCGTTCTAGTTATATGCTTCTCTCAAAGTTGCAAGTGCTTAGAAAATCTTTCAATTGACTTTCAGGCATTAAAGAGTTCTGCTGCAACAGTGCTAAAGCCTGGGAAAAATGCCATCACCTTTGCTTTGCCTCCACAGAAACCTGGTTCCTATGTCCTGGGTGTTCTTACAGGACAAATTGGGCATTTGAGATTCAGATCTCATAGCTTTTCCAAGGGTGGTCCTGTAGAGAGTGATGATTTCATGAGTTATGAAAAGCCAACCAGACCTATCCTGAAGGTAGAATCTTCTATCTAAGAAATTATTACCAACTAGCAGATATGCAAAATAATCTGTAATTAATTTGCATCACTAGTAATCAGCTATTTGGACATGTTTTTTTTTTCTTTTTTTTCCATTATGTGACGAACATCTACGCTTCAGATTTCCAATCCAAGACCTCTGGTGGATCTAGCCGCTGCCATATCTTCTGCCTTTCTAATAAATGAAGCCCAATGGATTGGTATCATAGTACGTCCTATAGATTACTCGTTGAAAGGCGCTGCATTGCATATTGATACTGGTCCAGGACTAAAGATTGAAGACTCGTATGGCATTGAGATGGAGAGATACCCAGACGAAGATTATCATGTCAAAACATCAAAAGATGAAGCTAATGCAAAAGGTAGTACAGTCTCTCTTGAAAAAGATTGCGAGCTGTTAAATCTCTCCAGTGGTAAAATAGTGTTCCCAGAGTGGGCGAGCGATGTGAACTCGATTTTGTGGGTCCCTGTTCGTGCATTGGGTGAGGAACTTGCCAGAGGGTCATCATCAGGTTTGCAATGAAAACTTAATTTTTGATTTTGATATGTTTGTCCTCACATCCAATTACTACGAATAGGCTTGATGAATTTCTATCTTGTGGGCAGTCAATCCGCTGAAACAAGATGTTCTAGAGGGAATGAGAACGATAGCTTTGAAACTTGAATTTGGAGTCTGTCATAACCAGATATTTGAGAGGTACAACAAATTACACTGGAGCGCCCTGTTGACCAATCCTTTTTTATCCGAATGATGATAATCATTCTACATCAAATTTATCTCTGAACTTGCATTGTTTTGTTGTCATGACCAGAACCATAGCCGTACACTTTACTGACCCTTTCCATGTGACAACAAGGGTTGCAAACAAATGCAATGACGGAACTTTGGTTTTGCAGGTAGTTATTTTATCTCTTTCAAAACGACGGACTCTTATCCTTGGTTCTATTCATAGCTCAGTGCTCACATTACTGTTCATACCGGTTCATGGAATTACATTTTTGTTCAGTATCAGTGGTCATCAAGTCAGTCTTATTGACAGGTTATGTTACAATCCCTAGTCAAGGCCAACTTGATAGTAAATGATGCGTGGCTTGACCTTCAAGACGGATTTGTCCACACCGGACAAAGTGATGGAAGACCAACTTCCAACTTCTTCCCACTTGTTGTTTCTCCCGGATCCAGAGCAGGACTTCTATTCAGCATATGTTCACGTAAGAATGTGTCCACAGGTATTCCTCTTCCCTATGAATCACTCTTACTGTGACACCCATCTTATAAATTCACCTTTACTGGTACAGTACTTTATATAAAAAACTCATACCTTAATATGCGATCCAAGAACTTTGCTGATCTTAGAATAACACGTAATGTTTCCATAGATGTGGCGAGGAAGAGCTATAAAAGTGATGCACAGAGCATTGCTATATCCATTTCGTTAGTTTTCTGTTAATATGTGGCCTTCCGACTTCACAGTTCTTGCTCATTTAAGTAATCTGATTTCGGCCATGATGCTTTATATAAGAAATTTTCAAAATTTTTGAATTGTCACTTTTGAGCAGCAGCTTAAGACGTGCTTGCATTTGTATCTGGAAAATATTGCTTCACAAACTGACTCTGCACCGCAGAAGGAGAAGAGTTGCAACAACCAGATAGCATACTGAACATCAAATACGGAGTTGATGGTGATAGAGCGGCGGGAGCACACAGGCCTGTGGATGTGGATCGCTCTGCTACTGATACTGAAAGTCTCGAGCTGGTCTTCAGGAGTGCCATTGTTTTGCAGCGGCCTGTGCTCGATCCTTGCTTGGCTGTTGGTTTTCTCCCGCTTCCTTCAGATGGGCTGAGGGTGGGGCAACTTATTACCATGAAGTGGCGAGTTGAAAGGTTGAAGGATCTTGAAGGAAGTGAAGCCATGGAACATGTAAGTCATGGCAATAATATATCTACTAATCATGTGATTAGCATTAGTTATTCCCCCCTCGAATTATGCTATATCAGTTTTAGACCATATTTTCCTGGATATAGTTTCCTGTGTCAATTACGTTACCATTATTAGGAGCTGTCTTACTGTCGAGTAGGAGGAATTCATAGGTCATCAATCAGGTTGTTCTCTAACATTAGTTTCATATTTGCCGAATTGTGGAACTAACACAGACTATAAGACTGCCATTATTGTTGTCATCATCATCAGCTTCGCCATCTTCCATGTTTAGTTTAGCAAATATAGTTAGTTTTTAATCAGTGAAAGTACCGAGTTGCATAACTTCTGGTGAGATGCTTTGTATATGTTTGAAATGCCAATTAATGTCACTGATCTAATCTTTTGGGAAATTTTCATGTTCCGGGACAGAAGGATGAGGTGTTGTATGAAGTCAATGCGAATTCCGACAACTGGATGATAGCGGGTAGGAAGCGAGGCCATGTCTTGCTCTCAAGGGAACAAGGTACTCACCCTTCTTTTGCTGTAAGCACACTTGGACACTAGGGTTTTTTTTGTATCACTGGAATTACACACTCCAAATCCCCAACTGTTTTGCCTTACCTTAAAAAACTGGAATCTGTTTACACAGCTCGTTGATGAATAACAAAACAAAATATTGTGGTCTCGTTAGCTTCACCCGTAAAACGTGTTATTATTGATAGTTTTGGTTTTTATGTGATTACAGGATCGAGAATAGTGATCTCGATATTATGTGTACCGTTGGTGGCTGGTTACGTCCGTCCACCTCATCTCGGGTTGCCAAACATAGACGAATCCCACGTAAGTTGCAACCCTCCGGGGCCTCATTTAGTCTGCGTCTTGCCTCCCGTTCTCAGCTCCTCCTTCTGCGTCCCAATCAAGTAAACCTCCCATTTTCTATTTATACAACAAATCTTATTAGAACTATTCCACTCTCGTACACTTTAACCTTCGGTTCAAGATTTTTGCTCGAGAAAAACCTATTTGTTTTCCTTTGTACCATTTTCGACCTTTGTAGCAAAATATCAGATTTGTTTTCCTTTGTACCAATTTGCCCATTGTGACGATAGAAGCTTTTATACATAAGTTGGCCAAGTTCAAAATCTCTTAAACAATCATACGCAAATTGCTAAACCGAGCCATGCCACGGTGAACTCATTATATGCAAATGTAAACACAGACAATCACAAAAAAAGAATTCGTGAATCCACAAATACTAAGATTATATTAAAATGCGATAGTAGAAGGGTTCGGCTGTGCCGTTCTACAGTACTTGAAATTTGAGCATTTGGTGGAGATGAGATCGAGCATGGGTTTGAGTTGAGATCGAACGTAGGTAACTGAACCACGGGTTTGAGTTTGGATTCATCAAGTAGAGGGAAAAGAGGAGGAGCAAGGGGTTTGGTTTAGTTTTTTTTTTTTTTTTTTCAGAATTCAGTTTCGTTTAAAAATTCGAAATCAGACATTTAAGAATCCGCTCGCATTTCATATCAGGTGCGTCTCAATCTCCTCCAATGCCCTGAATCTCTCACCTCGGTAGTTGCCTGCCTCACCCTCTCGGGTCTGACTCTCGACTCACCCTCTCACACTTGCTTCCTCGACCAAGTATTCCGTGAATACCTAAACCTTCACCGGAGGTACGTGACCCCGCAAGGCCGAGTTCAAATAATACGATACAAAACCCAAAGGGAGCAAAATCAAAATCGAACACTAAAAAACTCGAGCATCCAATCCAACCTATACCCACTCCTACATTTCACGGCAAAATCGTTTGCTGGCTAAAATCTGGCACGTTCTTCCTTTTTTCTTTTTGTTACTAACACATGTGTACTACATACCACCACCAATAAGTAGAGATATGTAAGAACATGTGTGAAAGAAAAATCTGGCTGATCAAGCAGGTTCGAAATATAACGTAGAGTGGCCAACCCCAAAGGAGGAGAGTTACAAGTTAAAAGTAAACAATAGCTTTACGATGTACTTTGCCAAAACATCGTTCTGACTACCGAAAATGGTACAAAGGAAAACAAATAGTTTTTTACTATCGGAGATAGGAAATATAATACCTGCGTCCGTAAGAATACTAACAAAACGAGGCTCAGTATTAAAAAAAACGATACACAGCTTTATTTTACCATCAAACTCTTACCGCTCTTCTTCTGTAACTAATACTTTCTCCTTCATCCCCTTCATCGCAAGGCTGTTTTCCCAGGGGCTCCTTTCTTCGCCCTGCAATGGTTTTGACGCGTTACGGGTAAAGATTTTAAATCTCAACATTAACATTTCCACGGTACTACAGATCAAAATGATATCATTTCGTTCGAAATTGAACACCACACGGATACTAAAGCTATCAGATGTACACTGGATTTGCTCCCAAGCACATGCCTTAATCAGCTAACTACATGTGCTATGTAAAACCACAATGGAAAAGCTATATTGAGGCTCGTGCTATAAATGATGGTTCAGACCTACCCCTACAACCAAACCAAGTATTGAGAGCATTAGAATAGCAATCTTCAGAAGTACCAAAAGTACATACTATACTATTAGAGAGTATTGGATTAGCATTCGGTTTAGGTTATTTTTCATAGTATAAATATTTGTAATTGTTGATCATTTGCAAATAACACAGAAAATTATTCCCAAATCTCTTTTCCATTTCTGAATTCTCCCTAGAATTCAATACATAATTGAGTTCACAGAACTAAAGTTATGGGATCATTTAGATGATTGCATAGTTCTAAGAGGACAGCTTATGTTTACAATCTCGGGTTTTTTACGCGTGCAAAACCAAAAAATGAGTTATGAGACAAAGTTTGAGGAGAACAAGACATTCTTACCTTGCCAAAACGAGGCTCAGACTCTCAGTTGTGCTGCACTTGTTGAATATGGGGCGAGAGGGAATGAACTTTCAGAGATTGGAAGAGTCCCAACTAGCATAAACAGCACCGATAATTTTCTCATGCAGAGCTCTTCCAGAACATACAACGATTCCCCGATCAAGACCTTCCAAGTAGATTCCTCTCGAGAAGTCCACGGATCGCCCACCAGCATCCGTCACCACACCACCGGCCTCTTCCACAATCACAACTCCAGCTGCATGATCCCATATCTTCTCCTTGTATCCCGAGTGAGCAAACTTCATAAAGATCTCAGCATCTCCATGGGCTATGGCTGCATATTTTACCATGCTATAGACTCGCAAAGGCTGCTTTCTGTAGAGGAAATGTTTCAAGATCGTATCAGAAGGAGGTCAAAAGGAAATATGTGATCAACAAGATCACTTCATGTATTGATCATGCGAGATGTAGAAGTATTGAAAGTATAGACTTGAAAAGAACATTACACACTTAACCCCCATGCTGTTAGTAAGTCCGGCTGTGAATATGTGGTTTGAGTTTGCCCTCTCCACGGGTTCACAAACAGTCGCTAGGGTTGGATCATCAACTGAAGAAACCTTAAGCAGACTTGCGGAGTTTGGAAACACTAGCTCTTGGTCTCCACCAAGCAAAGGCTGTGTCCACGCCTGACCACTCCCTCTCTTTGCATACATGACACATCCCTTTTGTGATCTATCTGATACTGGTCCCGGCAATTTTGACATGATTTGATGGCAACCGTTGCTTAGGCACTCTTTCTTTGTCGGATAATTAGGACATCCTAGTACTCCTAGGACAATTTTTCCATCCTCTATCAAAGCCAACGCTACGGCATACTGATCTCCACGAACAAACCCTAACGTTCCATCGACAGGATCAAGCACCCAGTGCCTTCCCTTGGGGCCTCCAGTTGAGTTGCATCGACCGATAGCCTCGAGGATTTCAGTGGGCCCTAGGGGTTTATCTGGCTTTGGAAGGCCATATCTTGGGGCTTCAGCCAAGGATCTATTAACCGTGTCCAAGACAGCTGCCAATAGACCAGATGAATCGGCCTTTGAGAGAGTCTCGGTGTCTTCCTCAGCAACAATCGAAACATTCCGAGCCCCAAAAACTTCTGATAACACCCAACTGACGATTGCTTGAACACTCCAATCTGAAACCAGTGAAGTTAGTGAAGTAAAAAACTTAACTGCAACAAAAGAAATAGCTCAAATCTCATCAATGCAGAGTCTGGCAGCAGAATGCTAAGCTCATAATTACTAATTCTTTACATTAAAAACACTGTAAGTTCAAAACACATCAATCTAGTCCTAAGTATCTTGCTTTTTGTGAATTCCAGAGATCTAAATATCTCGAATCATTGTCTTCGACTACGAGCTGAATTCCCCAACAACATTGAATCATCATAACAATAGGATGTCATCAAACATTCAACTCAATTACATACTTGCTAGTGTGGAGGATTTGAAAGCAAAAAACCCAAACCAGAGTACCTTCAACATTCAGACGCGCTGAACCAAATGGCGGAATGATGCAAAGCTTTTTTGTGGTAAGTTTACGCAAATTGAGTAACAAATGATTCTTAACTCAAACCATTCTGACCATACAAGATATCATCCGAAATTACCAATACTCCCAAAATCTTTATCATTGGCCAAACAAATCTAAATCCGCAGTTTTAACGAAAAAAAAATCTAAATCCGCAGAAACCCATCTACCAAACAGAAAAATCAGACAAACGTATCAAAGAAATCCCAAAATCAAACGAATCATCAGAAAATACAGCGGGAAAGGCGAAGAAATACGTGGTAAAACAGTAGAGAGATGGAGAAACCTGCGACGGTGACAGGGGAATCATCGTCCTTGGACTGGACGTGAACGCCGCCATTGGAGGAGGGAAGGAGAAGCTTC